GTGTGTATGAGCGTGCATTTGAAAGATGCGTAGATGTGCCATTAAGCCCTCATGCACACTGGACGTTTTTACAGTGGCTGTTTTTGGTTTTTGACATTTTATTTCTACAGCCAGTAAACCCCCCAGCATGTTATCCTATGAGTCCATGCACACATAGACTGTAATCAGCGTTTTTTTGGCTGGAAAAAAACCCAGGACTAGTGGGTTTCTAGAGGAGTCTTTTAGCTGTAAAAACGTTCTAATGCTGCAAAAACACTGCAAAAAGTGGTAAACTGCTGTAAAACTCAGCAAACCGGAGTTGTTTGATGGTTCTTTTTTTTTAAAAAAATGTTTTTTTGGGCAAAAACCTCTAAAAAGCGCAAACGTGGAAAAATGCAGGAAAACTCCGCTAAACGCTTATGCAAAAACGCAAAAAAAGCTGAAAAACTCAGGTTTTTAACATGACTTTACACAGCTAACGTTACCAGCGTTAGCAAAATGTCCAGTGTGCATGAGGGCTAAGAATTACTGTCACCGCCACACATCTGCAGTGTGTTTCTGCACATTGCAGTAAAGCACGCTGTTTGTCTGCATTTCCACAACACACTGGTGTGAAGCTGGCTTTGATAAGTTAGACCCTATTTGCACTATTTTTCTGCATTTTTTTGTGCATAAACATGTCAAAAAAGCTCCAGAACCTTTTCAGGAATGGAGAATTGTGCATTTATCAGTGCATTTGTAGCGCGTTTGCTGTGCAGCAAAACACACATCTGCTAAATACATTTGAGGTACCATTAACAATTAATGACACCACAAGCTCCATTCACATTTGCAACACGTTTTTCCACACATTTACTGTGTGTTTTGTTACACATTCTGGAAACGGCAAGTGTGTATGCTGCCTTAAATACGATATACATTTTATCAGCATATAATCTGCTCTAGATTTTAATGTTCTTATTGTAAATACACTCCATTTTTTTTTATATTTTGGGATTTTTTATGCACAACGATCTCTAGAGTTTTCTCAGAAAGGTGCAAAAGATAAAAAAATATCCAGTGAGTGGCAGTTCTGCGACCAGAGATGCCTTGCTGATGAGAAAGGTCAGTGGAGAATGGCCAGACTGGTTCAAGCTGACAGAAAGGCTACAGTAACTCAGATAATCACTATTTACAAGAGGGACTTGTGTAAAAAAAAAATCAAGAATGCTGTGTAAATGCTAGTGGCAGATTTCTTTTTTGCCCATAGTTCTATTTAAGAAAATGTCTTTTTATAACAAAAAATGGACAGCATATATAAACGAAGCTGGATGCTTCGTGAACAAAATAATATATTTTGATGGATTTATTTTTTCTTTGCTTTTGAGTTATCATAAACTAAATGATCAATTTATCTTTTTCTGATAATTTATCCGGTAATTAGACTTTACAATCTTGTGATCTTACCATTTTGGACAGATTAGACACTGATTTAATGTCAATGGGTTATTTGGGGAGACATAGCAATCAGACAAGTTTAATTACCTTGTCTAGTCAATGTTGTATTTTTAGTGTATGTTGTATTTCAATGTCATATTTGTGCCAGGACTAGGGGGTGTCTGCAGCTCTGCTATTTTGCCTAACAAGAAGGCCTCATACTCACTGGGCCCAGTTCATGTAAAAGTTCTTCTCCTGGAAGGACAAAAGCAGCATACAAAAATACACTTTTACAAACACGTTTCAGCATGTGTAAGGGCTTGTTCACACTTGACTACATTTCTAACTCTTAACAAATGCTCCTATAGTGTTAGTATGGGCGTTAATGAGCTTCAGTATTTACATTAGACAGGTGTTAATTAGCTTTAGTATGGGCGTTAGACTGGCATTTTACAAGCATTAAAAACGCTTCCCAAATGCCCTGTACGTGTTTTTAACACATTTTGCAAGCATTTAAAAAGCTCCACAAAGGGCTATTTATTTTTTCTTAAAGGGAAGTGACATAACAGGAAAGAAGCAATTTGAGGTGTGGCTTGTCATGGCAAATGTTTCCTATGCATACTCCATTGGGAAGGCTGCATGGATTCCTTTACTATACTATATCTCATGTTTGACCTCCTGCAGATGATGCTGATGTATGAGCAATTGGCTAAGCAGAGGAAGAGGAGAAGGAAATCCAGGCGCTACTGGGTACATCCAATTGTCTCTCAGAGATATTCTAAAGGGCAATTTTATGCCCTGTATCATGATTTATGCACCTACTCTCAGAAATTTTATATCTATGCCCGCATGAAAATCACATCCTTTGATGCACTGCTGGAGATTCTTAGATCCTGGTTGATATGCAGCAGAACCAAATTGAGGCTTCCAGTGTCTCCAGAAGAACATCTATTAGTCACTCTGCAGTAAGTAATCCAAGGTGACAAATGTATGCCACAGTTGTGTACACATTGCTGTATTTTCTGCCATGTACAAGAATACTGTTTAACCACTTGGTAACCACGCTATAGCCGAATGACAGCTACAGTGTGGTTACCCAGTTCTGGGAGGGCCTCATATGATGTCCTCCCAGAGCACGCCCTCCTGAGAGCCCCCACGGGCGTGCACCTAGCGATCTCTGTGATCACTGTGTCCTATGGATGTCCTACCACGTGATGTGGTAAAACGCCAATCACAGCGGCCTTTTACCATGTGCTCAGCTGTGTCCAATGACACAGCAGATCACGGAGTAAATACAGTTGCCAGTTATCGGTAGCGCTTTCCTCACGCTGTCACAGAAGAGATGGAGATGACCGGCAGCTGTCACAGAGGAGATCGGCACTGATCATCAGGGCACTGATGTTCAGTGCGCTGCAGTGCCGACAAGCAGTGCCACCCACCAGTGCCGTCAAGCAGTGCCCAGTAGTGCTACCCAGCAGTGCCCCCTACCAGTGTGTCTCCCATCAGCAGTGCCCCCAACAGTGCCGCCTATCAGTTCCGCACGTCAATGTCACCCATTAGTGCCACCTATCAGTGCCCATCAGTGCTGCCTATCAGTGCATATATACTGTATGTTGAACTGCATTTTTATTACAAAATATATGAAAAATATATGTTAAAATAACTTTTTTATATGTTAAAAAAAATCTGAAGAATATATTTAAAAAAATATATTTTTTAAAAAAATGTTTCTTATATATTTTCTTAATATATAAAAAATGCATTTCAGCATGCATGATACATATATATATATATATATATATATTGAAATATATTTTGAAATATATTGAATATGGTCAAAATTGTAGTATTTCAAATATATGTCAATTTATTTGGGAAGAATATTTTTTAAAATATTTTTCAAATATATTTTTCTTCCATGTGGGATATCAGGGAACAGTTTGCTAATTACTTTATGACACCAGAGGGAGAAATTCTATGGCAATATGTAAAAGTGTAAAAAATGATTTGTCTCTACTCAGCTACTGAAATAGGTTTGTCATGTTGTTTAAGCATAAAGTGGTTGTGAACCTCCTAAATGAAATATGAACAAAGCATACTGTGTACATGTATCAATTAAGAGCACAAAGGGGAACATTCACTAAACTGGAGAGTGCAAAAATCTGGTGCAACTCTGCATTGAAACCAGTCAGCTTCCAGGTTTTATTGCCAAAGCTTAATTGAACAATAAGCTGACGTTTGAAGCCGATTGCCTACCATGCACAGCTGCACTAGATGCTGAGTGCACCAGTTTTAGGAAATCACCACCAAAGTGTTTGTTTCAATCTGCTGCTTGTTTCCTTTGCTATCTGCATGAGCCACTTGTAACAGTTTGTTCTGACAGCAAGAGAAAGAAGGTGACAGTGGAGAGGGCTCAAGCACACAGCCTGTGATTGACATCCTTAGGTTTGTTCCTGTGTGCTATGTGAAGGGGGATTTGGTCTTACTCAAACTAGCTCTCAGAGCTCACCTCTGAGCTCTGCAGTGCATAACTTCAGCTCCCCACCCCCTGCTTCTTGAAAGCTCAGATAAGTTGTATAAATGCTTGACTTTGAATGGCTGTATTGGAGAGAAGATTGCAGATAATAGGTTCAACTTATGTAGGAGGATTAGTTAAATGTATCTCCGGAGAATAGTCAGTTCACTAGATGTATGAGAGAGTTCACAATGTCTTGTTTTCATGTGTAATATTCTGTTGGGAGGTTTTCCCAAAAAAGTGTCATGTGATACTGAAATGGAGGCATGTTTATTATGCAACATTTGTTCCTTTTTCAATCTTTCTGTTCTATTGTTTGAAGTTCTGAACCCTCATATAATCGTGTACAAGTAAATACTTGCTCTTGGATATTTGCTCTGTACAAGATTATAAACCCAAATATAACTGAAAATCAGAACTACACTGTATTTGTGCACCAAACCCCTAAATTACTATATAGTTATTTGTTAATATTCAAAGCAGACTCCCCCATCCATGTCTCCATGCGACAGTTTGAAGTTTCGCTTTATATATCTTTTCATAGGGAAATAGTTATTACCAGTGGGAAGTAGTTAATAAAAACCCACAGAAAACCATTACTGCAGCAGTTTTCATATTTATTTCAGTCACAGCAACAGCAAAAGAGAAAACTTTGAAGGAACAATTTTTCATATGTTCTAGACATAGTACTACTAAATATAGTGCTACTAGACATAGTAGTATATATCCAACAATACACATGTTCAAATAGTGCAAAATATTACAAAATTTTTGTTGTTACAAAACATAGAAGACATTTTTTTTTAATTAACCACTTGCTGTCCGGCCGCTGTATATAAACGGCCAGACGGTGGCAGTCCAGGGGCGGGTTGCCATTCATAAACGGCACCCACCATTTTGGACTGTGCGCACTCCCTGGGAGCGCACACCACCGCGATCAGGTGCCCCTTGTGTCCTCCGGACACAGTGGAACACTGATCGCCGTACGGGACCTCTGTGCGAGGTCCCGATCATGTGATCACTGATTGGCCAATCAGTGATCACATGCAGAGTAGTAAGCAAGATGTCACTTCCTGACATCGTTGCTTACTACGTGTGAAATCTGTGAATGATCACAGAGGTCACATGGTACAAGGCTATTCACAACAGCCTTGTACCATGTGACAAGCTGTGACCAATCACAGCTCACACAGTATTTCTCAATGGCTGCAATAATGCAGCCAGAAAGAAGGAGAAGTGATTGCTTTTACAGCATTTATGGGTGTAAAAGCAATCAGTGTAAAAAAAAAGAAAAAAAAATCACCCCCACAAGTAGTACAGTGTCACCATGGTGACACTGTACTTCTAGGGTGACAGTATGTTAAAAAAAATAAATAATAATATAAAAAAGTAAAATAAAAATTTAAAAAAAATGTAAATTATAATTTTTGGTTTTAAACTAATTTGTGTTATTTTGTTTTTTTTTACTAAACAGATAACTGAATAAATTATGGCCAAGATGTATGATGAAATATTATTTATTTGCAAAATTCTATAAAGAAAAAACACTTTTTTTCAAAATTTTGGGACTTTTCATTTATATAGTAAAAAAATAAAAATCCCAGTGGTGAATAAATACCACCAAAATAAAGCTTTATCTGTCTCAAAATATGCTAAAAAATTCATATGGGTACAGTGTTGCATGACCGAGCAATTGTCATTCAAAGTGTGATAGCGCTGAAAGCTGAAAATTGGCCTGGGCAGGAAGGGGGTGAAAGTGTCCGGACTTGAAGTGGTTAACATAAAGACCTGTATGCTCCGAATGCATAATAACATCATTGAGTAAATTTCACACCTCTTTTACCCCAGGATTATCATGTTCCTCTATCCTGTAGTGCGTGTTGCCAGCAGAGCAATCCAAGAAGGTGAAAGTCATAGAGTTTAACATTCATCTTCTGGTATTCCAAAAACAATGCTAAGGTGTGGAGTCAGAACAGCAATACATAACAAAAAAAGTGCAAATGCACTCCCCGGATTGGCTACTAATTCCTTCTGTTGACCTCCAAACATTACACGTGTGCTCAACCTGTGGACCTCCAGCTATTGCAGAACTTCACGTCCCATCATGCCTCTGCCTTTTGGGAGATTGCCTTTGCAATGCCTCAAGGGACTTGTAGTAGTGCAACAGCTGGAGGGCCACAGGTTGAGCACCCATGTTATAGGATATGGTAGTCACATGCAGGTCAGCAGGAAGACCCACTGGGCACCACAATGAGGAAGCTCTACAATGTGCATACCAGCATATGATAACACCTATAAGCTTTTACTTAAAGTAGAACTGTAGGCAATAGTTTTCCTTTCATTTTGGATAGAATGTTAGAACCCCTATCAATTTTTTTTTTTGCCATATGTGTCCCATAGGGGAGATATATATACATTCGCTTCCTGCCCCATTGCCACAGCACAAGGTGAGAATAACTCTCTGTAAAGTAAGGCAACAGAACAAAAGTCCCCATTGGAAGATATCCCATCTCTTGCTTTTCTGGGGGCAACCCAAGTTTTGATTTTAATTTACTTTCACTTTCAAGGACAATGGTAAACAGGACAAAGAGAGGGTGAATCTTCCTAATGGGACCACAAGCAGCAAAAAAAAAAAACTGACAAGTGTTCTAAGCCCTCTCCAATCTATCCAAAACAAAACAAAATTGGGCCTTACTTGAAACTAGCTCAGAGCCATAACCTTTTTTTGGTAGACATCACCACAAAGCTACATGTTCTACTAAACAAAACATCAGAATACATTGGAAACCCCCCTAAATAGCAATTCTCATGACCGGATCTGAGGCATAAATGGTCAGTGCTAAAAGGGAGGAATTGTCAGCTTGAGTTTCTGACTGGGCAATTCTATGTGATGGCGTTTTGAAAGGTCTATTGTTTTCCAGCACTGCATCACAGGTAGGAAGAAAGAAAATCACAACATACACTAAACTGTAGCGGTATGAAACCCAAAAGGTAATGTAATGCAGCTTACAAAATGTGGTGTTTTCATTCTTTTTTTCACCTCTGTTTTTCCTTGGTGTGCTGTCCAGAATAAAAAACCTCCTGTATGGGCCAACACTCAGGGATTAGGAGTTTGGGGCACAACTAGGACAGCAGCATTTGGTGGTGTTAACACACATCCTGCATAGAGTGCATCCACTGGAGACTGCCTCCATTCTGGAAGGAGAACAGAGGCAGTATTGGACAGCAGCATGGCAAGGGTGGTAAGATACATCCTGTATAGAGTGCATCCACTGGAGATTGCCTCCATTCTGGAAGGAGAACAGAGGCCGCTTTGGACAGCAGCATGGTAAGGGTGGTAAGATACATCCTGTATAGAGTGCATCCACTGGAGACTGCCTCCATTCTGGAAGGAGAACAGAGGCAGCACTGGACAGCATCTTAAGGGTGGTAAGATACATCCTGTATAGAGTGTATCCACTGGAGATTGCCTCCATTCTTGAAGGAGAACAGAGGCAGCATTGGACAGCAGCATGGTATGGGTGGTAAAATACATCCCGTATAGAGTGCATCCACTGGAGATTGTGCTAGCCGCGGCCACGGATGTCAATCACCGGGTCCCAGCCGGTAATTACCCGCCGTGCCCAGTGATTAACGAGCATCTCTAACGAGGAGAAAGATTGTTTTAATTACAAACAATCTTCCTCCCTGTCAGCTCGAGCACACTGCTTGGGATGACGTTGCACAGTACAGCCATCCCGATCAGTGTGCTTATAGTGAAGAACACCCCCACCCCCTAGTAAAACACTTTCATCGCCTCTCACATTAACCCCCTCCTGCCCAGTGCCATTAGTACAGTGTCAATGCTTTTTTTTTAGCAATGATCAATGTATTGGTGTCACTGGGGTATCAGTGACATCAAGTTAGTTCCCCCTCAGTGTCAGAATCTCTGCTGCAGTCCCACAGTCCTGCTAAAAGTCACTGATTGCCGCCATTACTAGTAAGAAAAAAAAAAATCCCATTATCTATACCACCATTTGTAATCACTATAGCTTTCACGTAAACCAATTATTTACACGTATGAGGATTTTTTCTAGCAAAGACAAGTCGCAGAATACATTTTGGCTTAAATGTATGGTGAAATTTGATTTTTTTTTTAATTTTTTACTGGACATGTTTAATAGCAAAAAGTCCAAAATATTGTTTTTTTCTCAAAATTGTTGGTCGTTTGTTACTTATAGTGCAAAAAATAAAAAACGCACAGGGGATCAAATACTACTGAAAGGAAGCTCAATTTGTGGGAAAAAAAGGACGTAAATTTTATTTGGGTGCAGCAATGCATGACCGTGCAAAGTAACGCAGCGCCGTACCGCAAAAAATGGTATGGTCACGAAGGGGGGTAAATCCTCTGGAGGGCAACTGGTTAAACATACTAAATGTTTTATATACTTTTACATGTAACCTTCCAATAAACTTTCACCTATACACTGATAAGCCATAACATTACGACCGCTGCCATCTTGTTCCAATGGCTCCTATGGCACCAATGGCAGAAAGGGAAAAAAAAATTAGACACACTTTGACAATGATCAATTTATGGTTTGACATCATGTGGTTGGATGACCTATGTCTGAGTGTGTCAGGGAAGACCACCAGAGAAGTTACCAGAGAGGAAGGCATTCTCGAGTTCGCAGTAAACTGCTCTGGAAAGCTTGTTACAAAATATCCCGGACACAATTTCCAAGGTCTGGTTGAGTTCAGGGACCTACTCAATATTGGGTGAGTCGTCATAATGTTATGTTTTTTTTATTGCTTGTTTGTTTAATTTAAACGTTTCTATACACTGGCTCAGATGAGGAGTGGTTGTTATGATTAGAATGAGTATATTGGCCTGGCTGGATGTTATCACCTGCTCCAGACCCACCTGTTGTGATGTCTGCTGCCACTGAATTATACTCTGATGCGTGGCTTTGAAATGTGTGTGTTGAATATGAAGGGGCACTATGTTGTGCATATGTGTAGTATATCTTGGATTTGGAGAATTGGAGTATTGCACAGATTCTAGTGGGGGTGGAGCAGATGACATGAGCATGTAGTGCTGTATGTCCCCAAGGAGGTTAAAGGCGTTAAACTCCTCCTGACTCTACATGAGGCTTCAACTTTGAAGCAAAGCAACGCGACGCTTCATGTGTTCATAATGTGAACAGCACTGTGTGCTGTCCATAATATCATCTGCATAAGTGTTTGAGGAGCATTAAAAAACGCCCCTCAAACATCTGCTTTCAATGCCAGTTTTAACTAGGCCTAAGGGTGTCAAGCGCTTGGACGTTTATTTATTTCAACAAGGTGAAAGTCATAGAGTTTAACATTCATCTTCTGGTATTCCAAAAACAATGCTAAGGTGTGGAGTCAGAACAGCAATACATAACAAAAAAAAGTGCAAATGCACTCCCCGGATTGGCTATTAATTCCTTCTGTTGACCTCCAAACATTACACGTGTGCTCAACCTGTGGACCTCCAGCTATTGCAGAACTTCACGTCCCATCATGCCTCTGCCTTTTGGGAGATTGCCTTTGCAATGCCTCAAGGGACTTGTAGTAGTGCAACAGCTGGAGGGCCACAGGTTGAGCACCCATGTTATAGGATATAGTAGTCACATGCAGGTCAGCAGGAAGACCCACTGGGCACCACAATGAGGAAGCCCTACCAGCATATGATAACACCTATAAGCTTTTACTTAAAGTAGAACTGTAGGCAATAGTTTTCCTTTCATTTTGGATAGAATGTTAGAACCCCTATCAATTTTTTTTTTGCCATATGTGTCCCATAGGGGAGATATATATACATTCGCTTCCTGCCCCATTGCCACAGCACAAGGTGAGAATAACTCTCTGTAAAGTAAGGCAACAGAACAAAAGTCCCCATTGGAAGATATCCCATCTCTTGCTTTTCTGGGGGCAACCCAAGTTTTGATTTTAATTTACTTTCACTTTCAAGGACAATGGTAAACAGGACAAAGAGAGGGTGAATCTTCCTAATGGGACCACAAGCAGCAAAAAAAAAAAACTGACAAGTGTTCTAAGCCCTCTCCAATCTATCCAAAACAAAACAAAATTGGGCCTTACTTGAAAACTAGCTCAGAGCCATAACCTATTTTGGTAGGCATCACCACAAAGCTACATGTTCTACTAAAAAAATCATCAGAATACATTGGAAACCCCCTAAATAGCAATTCTCATGACCGGATCTGAGGCATAAATGGTCAGTGCTAAAAGGGAGGAATTGTCAGCTTGAGTTTCTGACTGGGCAATTCTATGTGATGGCGTTTTGAAAGGTCTATTGTTTTCCAGCACTGCATCATGGGTAGGAAGAAAGAAAATCACAACATACACTAAACTGTAGCGGTATGAAACCCAAAAGGTAATGTAATGCAGCTTACAAAATGTGGTGTTTTCATTCTTTTTTTCACCTCTGTTTTTCCTTGGTGTGCTGTCCAGAATAAAAAACCTCCTGTATGGGCCAACACTCAGGATTAGGAGTTTGGGGCACAACTAGGACAGCAGCATTTGGTGGTGTTAACACACATCCTGCATAGAGTGCATCCACTGGAGACTGCCTCCATTCTGGAAGGAGAACAGAGGCAGTATTGGACAGCAGCATGGCAAGGGTGGTAAGATACATCCTGTATAGAGTGCATCCACTGGAGATTGCCTCCATTCTGGAAGGAGAACAGAGGCCGCTTTGGACAGCAGCATGGTAAGGGTGGTAAGATACATCCTGTATAGAGTGCATCCACTGGAGACTGCCTCCATTCTGGAAGGAGAACAGAGGCAGCACTGGACAGCATCTTAAGGGTGGTAAGATACATCCTGTATAGAGTGTATCCACTGGAGATTGCCTCCATTCTTGAAGGAGAACAGAGGCAGCATTGGACAGCAGCATGGTATGGGTGGTAAAATACATCCCGTATAGAGTGCATCCACTGGAGATTGTGCTAGCCGCGGCCACGGATGTCAATCACCGGGTCCCAGCCGGTAATTACCCGCCGTGCCCGGTGATTAACGAGCATCTCTGACGAGGAGAAAGATTGTTTTAATTACAAACAATCTTCCTCCCTGTCAGCTCGAGCACACTGCTTGGGATGACGTTGCACAGTACAGCCATCCCGATCAGTGTGCTTATAGTGAAGAACACCCCCACCCCCTAGTAAAACACTTTCATCGCCCCTCACATTAACCCCCTCCTGCCCAGTGCCATTAGTACAGTGTCTATGCTTTTTTTTTTAGCAATGATCAATGTATTGGTGTCACTGGGGTATCAGTGACATCAAGTTAGTTCCCCCTCAGTGTCAGAATCTCTGCTGCAGTCCCACAGTCCTGCTAAAAGTCACTGATTGCCGCCATTACTAGTAAGAAAAAAAAATCCCATTATCTATACCACCATTTGTAATCACTATAGCTTTCACGTAAACCAATTATTTACACGTATGAGGATTTTTTCTAGCAAAGACAAGTCACAGAATACATTTTGGCTTAAATGTATGGTGAAATTTGATTTTTTTTTTTAAATTTTTTTACTGGACATGTTTAATAGCAAAAAGTCCAAAATATTGTTTTTTTTCTCAAAATTGTTGGTCGTTTGTTACTTATAGTGCAAAAAATAAAAAACGCACAGGGGATCAAATACTACTGAAAGGAAGCTCAATTTGTGGGGAAAAAAAGGACGTAAATTTTATTTGGGTGCAGCAATGCATGACCGTGCAAAGTAACGCAGCGCCGTACCGCAAAAAATGGTATGGTCACGAAGGGGGGTAAATCCTCTGGAGGGCAACTGGTTAAACATACTAAATGTTTTATATACTTTTACATGTAACCTTCCAATAAACTTTCACCTATACACTGATAAGCCATAACATTACGACCGCTGCCATCTTGTTCCAATGGCTCCTATGGCACCAATGGCAGAAAGGGAAAAAAAAATTAGACACACTTTGACAATGATCAATTTATGGTTTGACATCATGTGGTTGGATGACCTATGTCTGAGTGTGTCAGGGAAGACCACCAGAGAAGTTACCAGAGAGGAAGGCATTCTCGAGTTCGCAGTAAACTGCTCTGGAAAGCTTGTTACAAAATATCCCGGACACAATTTCCAAGGTCTGGTTGAGTTCAGGGACCTACTCAATATTGGGTGAGTCGTCATAATGTTATGTTTTTTTTTTATTGCTTGTGTGTTTAATTTATACGTTTCTATACACTGGCTCAGATGAGGAGTGGTTGTTATGATTAGAATGAGTATATTGGCCTGGCTGGATGTTATCACCTGCTCCAGACCCACCTGTTGTGATGTCTGCTGCCACTGAATTATACTCTGATGCATGGCTTTGAAATGTGTGTGTTGAATATGAAGGGGCACTATGTTGTGCATATGTGTAGTATATCTTGGATTTGGAGAATTGGAGTATTGCACAGATTCTAGTGGGGGTGGAGCAGATGACATGAGCATGTAGTGCTGTATGTCCCCAAGGCGGTAAAAGGCGTTAAACTCCTCCTGACTCTACATGAGGCTTCAACTTTGAAGCAAAGCAACGTGACGCTTCATGTGTTCATAATGTGAACAGCACTGTGTGCTGTCCATAATATCATCTGCATAAGTGTTTGAGGAGCATTAAAAACGCCCCTCAAACATCTGCTTTCAATGCCAGTTTTAACTAGGCCTAAGGGTGTCAAGCGCTTGGACGTTTATTTATTTCAACATTAATTTATTTCTGGCCATTGAAATGTATGAACATCCAAACACTTGATGCTGCTAGTGCTTCACGGCATTTAGACATGTTTACACACATTTACAGTAGGGAAAGTAATTATTTGATCCACTTCAGGTGTTGTAAGTTTGCCCACTTACAAAGAAATGAAGGGTCTATCATTTTTATCATAGGTGTATTTTAAATGATAGAGACAGAATATCAGCCAAAAATCCAGAAAAAACACATGATACAAATGTTATGAAAAAAATTAAAGCGATTCTAAAGGTTCATTTTTTTTTTCTGTAAAATAACAAACACGTTTACACTTACCTGCTGTGTGTAGTGGTTTTGCACAGAGCAGCCTGGATCCTCCTCTTCTCTGGTCCCCGCAGGCTCTCCTGGCTCCTTCTGTCAGTCGAGTGCCCCCACAGTAAGCAGCTTGCTATGGGGGCACCCGCTGCTCCATGTGTCCATTCACACATGCAGCTGCAGCTTGGACCCACCCCTCTCTCTCCTCATTGACTGACTGGCTGTGATTGATAGTAGTGGGAGCCAATGTTGCCTGCTTGTTGTCTAAGCCAATGAGGAGGAAGTGACCCGAGACAGACGAGGCTCATATTCGTATCGTTGGATCTCAATGAGGCTCAGGTAAGTATTTAGGGGGCTGGGTGGGCTGCTGCACACAGAAGGTTTTTTGCTTTCATGCATAGAATGCATGAAGGTAGAAAAACTTCAGCCTTTCCAACCACTTTAACCTTTAAAATCACTTTAAGTTGCAGTTCAGTGAGTAAAATAAGTATTTTGATCCCCAAGCAAAACATGACTTAGTACTTGGTGGTGAAACCTTTGTTGGCAAGCACAGAGGCAAGACATTTCTTGTAGTTGGTTACCAGGTTTGCACACATCTCAGGAGGGATTTTGGTCCACTCTTCTTTACAGATCTTTTCTAAATCCTTAAGGTTTCTTGGCTGTTGTTTGGCAACTCAAAGTTTCGTCTCTCTCTTCATAAATTTTCTATAGTATTAAGGTCTGGAGACTGGCTAGGTCATTCTAGGACATTAATATGCTTCTTCTTGAGCCACTCCTTTGTTACCTTTGCTCTAATTTTTGGGTCATTGTCATGCTGGAACGGTCTTCCACGACCCACAACCCATCTTCAGTGTTCTGTCTGAGGGAAGAAGGTTCTCATCCAAGTTTTTACAATATATGACCCTGTACACTGGCCCCTTAATGCGGCAAAGTCAGCCTGCACCTTTAGCAGAGAAAAAGCCCCAAAGCATGATGTTTCCAACTCTGTGCTTGACTGTAGGGATGGTGTTCTTAGGGTCATAGTCAGCATTTTGTTTCTTCCAAACACAGCGAGTCCAGTTAATGCCAAAGAGCTCAATTTTGTCTCATCTGACCACAGCACTTTCTCCCAATCCTGCTCTGAATCATATAGATTTTCATTGGCAAACTGTACATGTGCCTTCTTGAGGAGGGGGACCTTGTGGGCGCTGCAAGATTTCAATCCATGGTGGCGTATTGTGTTACCAATGATTTGTTTGGTGACTGTGGTCCCAACTGCTTTGAGATCATTCAAAAGCTGCTCCCATATAGTTCTGGGATCATCCCTCACTTTTCTCATGATCATTCTTACCCCAAGAGGCGAAATCTTGCATGGAGCTCCAGACCAACGGCGATTGATGGTTAGTTTGTATTTCTTCCATTTGCGTATACTGTAATTGCTCCAGCAGTTGTTTCCTTCTTACCAAGCTTCTTGCTGATGGTCTTGTAGCCCATTCCAGCCTTGAGCAGGTCTACAATCTTGTCCCTGACATCATTTGACGGTTCTTTGGTAATTTGCCTATGGTGGCGAGGTTTGAATGGAAGAAAGCAATTCTTTTATACACATGACAAATTGTTGTTAGGAGCACCTTTTTAAATAGACAGGACTAATCTGTATACCACATGAGCACATAGCTAGTCTGTGTGAGCCAGAATTATTGTTGGTTGGTAGGGGATCAAATACTTATTTTACTCACTGAACTGCAACTGAACTGCAACTCAATTTATAACATTTGTATCATATGTTTTTTAGGGATTTTTGGTTGATATTCTGTCTCTATCATTTAAAATACACATATAATATATGATAAAAATTATAGATCTTCATTTCTTTGCAAGTGGACAAAAGTACAAAATTTGCAGGGGATCAGATATTTATTTTCCCCACTGTAGGTGCATCAGGCATTTTTTCAGCCAAAACGCTGCTGCTCCTGAATGCACTGGCAGTGGGTTTTTTGTTCTGCTTCTAAATGCCTGTAAACACCTATATATGCATATACACATAGGCTAACATTGAAGGGAGTTTAACCTCCCTGGCGGTATGATTATTTCAGATTTTTGGTGCTGAAAGCGGTACCATTTTTTTGCATGGAAATATGTATTTTTTTTATTGTAGGCTGTAATTTTTAGGAAAAACTCACTGACATCTGTCCGAACAAGAGTCTAGTAAACATCCCGGGTATGATAAAATTTGAAACACAAAATCATAAATTATAATTTAATAAATAATCATAAAAATAATATAAAAATAATAAAAAATTTAATTCAATAATATAATCAAACCAAAAACACTGAAATGTGAAATAGAGCGCCAAGTTCGCACATTGCTGAGCTCAGTCGCAAAATCGTTTTCAGTGTCTGATGACGAATTTCCCCCACGAATCATTATCACTCAATTCTGCAAGTGGTTCTGATTTACTATCGCTGTTCTCTAGCTGATCTAAACCGCTTTTGACCTAAAGGGACACTTTTTGGACGCCATGGACATTTCTCAGTTTCCAGGCAGAAATAACAGACAAAATGCAGGCAGGGCGCAGGACAAAGCACTAGGGACAATATGTATGTGAAATTGGTTGAGACAGCAATGTTTTACTATGTAAAATGTAAAAAAAAAAAAATGAAATTTTTTAAAATTTTTAAATTTCCCGCCGCCGCAGGCGGCGGCGCCCGTACGTCCCGACGTCACAGGGACAGGACACAGAAGCCGAATGCCGACATCGGCCGGAGGAGATGGCCGGGGACGCTGCAGGGGACACATCGCGGGAGCGCAGGGTAAGGTAAGTGAAGAACACATGCCGGAGCAGTGCCGCAGGGTAAGCCCGAGTGTAGCTCAGGGTTACCGCTTTTGGTACTGAAATGTTACCCCGAGCTACACTCGGGAATACCGCCAGGGAGGTTAAAGGCAGAAAGAAAAAACTCAAGACGCCTCTAGAAGCGGACTTTAAAATGACCAGTGCGCATAAGGCTAAAAGGTTTCCTAATGTAAATGTTTATAGTTAGAGGTGAACTGGCCACCACAGATGACTTTGGTCAGGACAGGATTTACCATTAGGCACAGTAATCTTGTACCTTTAGGCTGCAGAGAAAATAAAGTGGAATTATAAATTGTCACAATATAGTAAGCCAAGTTAAGTATCTGTCCTTATTCTGTATGTATGGACTGTGCACAGTCCCACTTCTCCTGTCCTGAATGCCCGGTGTAATTCTCGTTATCTGTCCTTATTCTGTATGTATGGACTCTGCACAGTCCCACTTCTCCTGTCCTGGATGCCGGGTGTAATTCTCTGTATCTGTTCTTATTCTGTATAGATAGACTCTGCACAGTCCCACTTCTCCTGTCCTGGATGCCGGGTGTAATTCTCAGTATCTGTTCTTATTCTGTATGGATAGACTCTGCACAGTCCCACTTCTCCTGTCCTGGATGCTGGGTGGAATTCTCGGTATCTGTTCTTATTCTGTATGTATAGACTCTGCACAGTCCCTGGATGCTGGGTGTAATTCTCTGTATCTGTTCTTATTCTGTATGGATAGACTCTAGTCTGCACAGTCCCACTTCGCCTGTCCTGGATGCTGGGTGTAATTCTCAGTATCTGTTCCTATTCTGTATGGATAGACTCTGCACAGTACCACTTCTCCTGTCCTGAATGCTGGGTGTAATTGCGGTATTTGTTCTTATTCTGTATGTATGGACTCTGCCCAGTCCCATTTTTCCTGTCCTGGATGCCGGGTGTCATTCTCGGTATCTGTTCTTATTCTGTATGGATGGATTCTGAACAGTCCCACTTCTCCTGTTTGGTATGCTGGGTTAACAAAAAATCAGTAAGTGTGTTGCCTCCAAAAAAGATGATGCCCTTTGCTATTACAGTGCACCATCCTGTGGTAGGCAGTGCATTCCCTTTTTTTTTTTTTAATCTGTAAGTTTTATTTTTGTAAATTTAATGAAGTCAGTGAGCACACTGTATGACACAAAATGGTACCCTTGCACCATAATAGCCAACCTTACTGAGGAGGTGCAAAAGGCACCATGTTCTGGTAGGTAGGCCGCACACTCACTCACTTTGCATTTGTTCAGTTTGCACACTGTGACTGGGTAATAGCCATTCTTCCTGAGCAGATGCTAATGGCTCCATTTTATGTCAGTCAATGCACTTTTTTAACCTGTATATTGTGTCCTAAAAAAGTTTATGAAATGTTTTAAAAGATCAAAAAGGACACCATTGTTATATGCTCACTGTTTCATTTTTCCTCTTTATGACACACTTTTCAGTAGCCATACATCTAGTATTTATTTGTATTTGGGGACATTATTTCACACCCTTCTACTTCAGCTTTTCAGAGCTTTGGGTCTACATTCCTGGCTGAGCTGTAAGGTGTCCACGCAGTGTTTTTTCATGACAAGTAATCCTGCAGAATTCTTGCTCCTGCTGGGACACCTAGAACCAGGGGCGGACTGACAACTCATAGGGCCACCAGGCAATAGGGGATCATGGGGCCCCTGTGTCCTTGCCCAAACTCAAAAAAGCCTATGAACAAGGTACCAGGGGCATCTCATGGGGCCCCCTTCTGATCCCGGACCCCCAGGCAGTGCCCAAGTTTCCAAATGGTCAGTCCGCCCCTGCCTAGAACTATCTGCTGGCCAGCTGTCTTCAGAGGACAAGGTCTGTACTATAGTATTACTATGTTACACCTTAATTCATGCAACATTGTTTTGTTGCTAGCTTGCCTTCTTTGGAACAATGGATGGTTGATGTTATGTGGAGTGCCTTTTTATCTATTAAAAAATGCCACAAAATTCCTTTTTTTTTCCTGCCCCAGTACGGCGCTTTTTGCACCTGCTCAGTTTGGACACTAAAGCCCCGTGCACACGGGCTGAACGTCAGGCGGTATCAGCCGGTTCAACAGGAACCAGTCGACATTCGACCCATGTATACGGCAGTCAGTCAGACAGAAGCTGGATGTTTGTTCAGGTTCTTTCAAAGGGTCATGACTGGAAAAGGTCTTTTGATTGGCTTCCAAGCCATACTCTCCGCCAGCGGCTGAGAATATGGACCTTGTGATAGTACAGTGATCTGTCAGGTTCTTTTTTGGTTCAGCCCAGCAGGCTGAACTAAAAAAAGCATACAGTGTGTATGAGGCTCTAGCCTGGACAATAGCCAATCTCACTAGGCAATGTTCATAAAACTGGAAGAAGGAAAAAGTGAAATCAGGTTCAATTTTCAAGAGGATCTGAGAAAATAGAATTAGCACGTAATTGCTTACTATGAGCAACACAGTTTTTTTCCTTTTTCCAGTCTTTATGAATTTGGCACAATTTATTTAAAAAGACTCTTACTTAGTATCTGCTGCTTAATGCCCCCCCCCCCCCTTCAGAAAAAAAAATTATCTACAGCCCTGACAGGGAAGCATTTCTCTTGAGCTTTTCAGGCGCTTTTTTTTAACACAAACGCGCTTCAAAAACTCCTCAGTGCCAGTAGCTTAAGTATAAGGGGGGGCTCTGGGGGAGCTGCATTCAGAAGGTTTTTTTACCTTAAGGCTCCATTCACACTAGGTTTTTTCAAATCACGGTCAGAATCGCCATGTTTCTGCCCACAATTTGAAAACGGGCTGTCAAAGTGTGAAAACGCAGGGTGTTTTTGCCACGATCATGACACATTTTTCTGAGCGGCAAACACACATCCATCGCGCAAACAAAATCACGGGACACAAAAATCGAGTGCAAACATTCAAACAATTTTGTTTGCACGATCACAGCGCATTTGCTGTGCGTTTTCATAGTTTGACAGTATGTTTTCAAAATGCAGGCAGAATCGCGGCAATTCCCCCCTTGATATGAAAAAATCTAGTGTGAACGGAGTGTAATTAATAGAATACATAAAGATAGAAAACCTTCAGCCTTTGGAACCACTTTAAAACAAACAATATAAAATTTTTTAGGTAGGCAAATTAGTTACTGTCAAATTAACTGATGCATTCTGACACCACTAAAGTTGGTCTGGGCATCTAAATTATATTGACCTCTGGTCATGAAAGGGACAAATCTTCTTCTCAGGGAGCACTACCTTTAGTCTTCCATAACTGTAGCACTCACTAATGAGTAATTTTTTTATACTGTGTTTGGTCCACATCACATTCACAAAATTATTCTGTTACATTTGCAATTAGTTATTGTGCCAACATCAAATGAACATCAAAGTGCATACCATTGCTTTCTATCGGTTACAGGGAGGACTCCGCTCTATTCCAAGGGAGCATCATGGGCTCAGATTAAAAGCTACTGAATATTACTCCTATAAGGCTGCAATATATAAAATGACAAACTGTATCTGTATCACACACAAATGTAGCTCATTCTTCTTTATCTCATTTGAATCTTGTGTTATCTGAGGTTACATCTTCTTCTGCCCTTAGGATTTTCCCTTCCATTGCCCTTTTAAAATGCTGTTTGATTTCTAATTGTATTTCCCATGTTAGTAAGTGGCAGATTGTTTCTGATTTCTTTTCCTTCCATTGAAGTTAGAATCGACAACTGTTATAAATAACTATGACAGGTGAATTTTACCCTAAAAAGGGAATTTTAGGAAGTGGGGGGGGGGGGATAAGTGACTTCACATTAATACAATTCAGTTTGGTCAAATATTTGTGGAAACAAATGAAAAGAAAGAAGAATCAGAGTACCCACAGCACACTAAGCATTTCTCTCTGATCCGGGAACAATTCCCTTTATCTTCTGCTCCTGACAGTTGGGTGCTCATCAATGTGACACCCTGACCAACCAGAAAGCAGCTCACTGCTCTCTAGTGGTGTCACTGACACAAAGAAAATGGCAAGGAACAAGGTGGCTGACACCTGGCTGTCTGCAGTAAATGAGCAAGCACTGGCTTCAATGCAATTCTATTTTCTGAAGTCTTTGTCGCATTCACATTTAAACAGAACACTTTAATTTTACAACAGGGTGTAGGGAACATATCCTTCACATACCATGATGACAGCTTGCCTTTTCATAATACACATTTAAACATTTTAGTGAAATACAATAAGGTGTTAATTACATAGTAAAAAGGGCTATGTCTGCAGTATGTCTGTTTTCTAAAGGTGTCCTAGAATATATCTGATGTATTTCTACATAAAACAGAAATGTACTGGGATTTTATAAATGTATTTAAAAATAATCTCTTATAATAAGAGCTATTATTGCTGACTTGTATTTTAAAGGTACAAAAGGTCAAGGGTTGTCATCCCAGTTCTTTCTAGATTACCATGTGAATTGCAGACCTAGGGCAAGCTTGCACTTATAAGGTGTGTTGTAGAATAATGCACTTAAGGAGAAAGAATCCTCCTACAGAGTACAACATTGGGGATACAGTATTGGCCAGCACTACAGAAAAGATTTGGAGGTACTTATTTCCGAGTTAATTGTGGCCAATTCTGGAGACCTCACTTACAAAAAAACATTGATAAGAAAGAACAAGTCATGAGAAGGGTAACAAAAATGGTGAAAGGTCTGGGGGATAAAACATGTCAACAGAGACTTCAGGAATTTATTATGTACAGTCTGGAGGAAAGAAGGGAAAGGGGGACATGACTGAAACCTTTAAATACATCAAGGGGGTGAATATGGTTCAGGAGGGCAGTATTTTCAATATGAAGCCAAGATCAAGAACACGTGCGCACGACCTCAAACTAGCAGGAGGAAAGTTCAAAACTAATCTTAGAAAGTATTATTTTACTGAAAATGGTTGATGTAGTTGATCCTTGCAATAGACTTTCAGCAGAGGTAGTGAGTCAGTCAGCAGTAAATGGCTTCAAATATGATTGGGACAAACATAGATCTACACTCAGACAAAAAATATTAACCAAAAAAAATATATGAAAGATATATAAATGAAAAAAAAAAACAGGCAGAAGCAATGGACCGGTTGGTCTTTTTTATGTTTCATTGTGTGCCATCTTAAATGCTTGTTCGGGTCAGTGACTCCCCAAGGACTAAAGGGTAAGGTTGACAGTCCTGGAACTTGTCCCTCTTAATACAAGTCCACAAAATTTCCCATAGTTTTGTCCTAGCAGGTTTGCTTCAAGTCACACAAAAGCCCCAAAAGCCACCAATTTTGACAAATTGCTTTCACAAAGGTCTGTAACTCACTACCTATAGCATAATTGAATCTGTCACTTTCATAAAAATATTGTTCCCCTCCTTAAATTATTTGTGGTTTCCCCATGCATTGCCCTTTCACACGCACTGGTCTGATTTTTATTTTTATCTCCCTCTTATCTGTGCCTTTCATGGTATTTCATCCATGTCACTCCAGCATGACATATGACTTCAATAAGAGACTTATATATACAGCTCACAGAGACAAAAGCATTCGCTGGAGAATCAGATTATCAATATGACAACTCGTGTCCCCAGGAGAGCCCAATGGGTGACATTGTGCACCTTACGGATCTAGGTCCTCACAATTTCCTTCAGTTCTAATCAAAATATTGGGCCCTATATTTGTATTTGTGAAGGAAAAGCTTTCATTAAATCACTGAGCCATGCCCTGGTTCCCAAGCAACAGCATATTTGGCAGGCATTCTTAAAGGTGAACTCTGTTAGTGGAGGTTAAAATAAACTTTTATTATAAAATTCTTCTTTCTCATCTGTCTTGTCATTTCATGTGACGTACAAGTCATCAATAAAAACATGATCTAGTTTGTCAACCCATTCCTTAAATGGCAATGAAAATCTGCAAGGCTTTAGGGTAGAGAATATGCAATCTGTTATGGGACTAGTAGTTTAACGTAAACCTTTGCTTTGCCTATGTAGGCAGCAGTTGGGCTTCAATTGTTTGTAATCATTTGTCTTTTTTTATATACACAAAAATGAAAAAAAAGGGTAAATACAGTATTTTCTAAAAGAAAAAAATATATAATTCTTTTTAA